TGTCAGAATGGCTAAGATCAAAAACACTGAAGACAGCTTATGTAGGAGAGAATGTGGAGCAAGGGGAACACTCCTCCACTGTTGGTGGGAATGCAAACTTGTACAGCCACTCTGAAAATCAGTATAGCGGTTTCTCAGAAAATTGAGAATAAGTCTTCCTCAAGACCCAGCTATACTACTCTTGGGCATATACCCAAGGAATGCTCAATCTTACCACAAGGACAGATGCTCAATGATGTTTATATCAGCATTATTTGTTTGTTTGAATTTTAAAGTAATATGAGCTCGTGCTAAAACATCTATAGAATTATGCATCATGAAGTGTATTTGCTTGAATCAGGAGCCAAGTACGTTCAGTCCATTGTAGTTCGTTGATATAGGCTACAGGTCATTCTTTCTTTTTTTTTATTTCTTCTGTCCATTCAAACTCATGTTTGAAAGCATTTACAATATTAACTGAACTTAATCTTAGAGATCAATGTTCATGTTTTTAGATCTCACTATTGGGTATTAAAAGGACACTCAATGTAATTATTTAAAATTATTCAGCTCAAAACTTAACAAATGTTTGGTCTTAGGATCTTTACACCCAAAACAGAGTTGGCTGTTAGGTTCTTTGGCTTCAAGGAAGAACATTCTGTTAACTTTACCAATGAGAATATCTCTTAATGCTGGTAGTTTTCCATTGTTGATTTTTAGTAGTTACCTATAATTGTATGAATGAAGTTGAATGGAGAGGTACACTAAGTATTCCAAATCACAGTGGTAATAAGGAGGTAGGTAGGTAATGCAACTGCTCAATATTTCTGAGGCCAAGAGGTTAAACCTAAGGAGTTTAACCAAGGTTCAGGAATGAAAGCCCACACAAGATAAACTGTGACACCGAACTGAGAGTTTAAGAGCAGAACAAAGCCACAAGTTACCGTTTCTGGCAAGGACAACAGTGAACCCCCCACCATCTTCTTTGTGCCTTTCAACAGTCTAAGGGAAAGGGAGGACGAGATTGTGCTGAACAGAGAGGTCCCTGGGTCCTGCCCTCTGGTGAGGAGTCTGTTCCTGCCTCAAGTGAGGCCTGAGATATGTCAAGACAAGTCTTTCTTAATGTCGGGTTTTCCCCCCAATCTCTTTATGATGTATGTATCAGATATATCTGCGGGAGTGCGTGCGTGATTGCATGTGTGTCTGTGTGTGTATTGATTCCTAGTCTTCATAATATTGAGTAGATTCCCAATAGCATCATTACCATGTTCACCTGTCTTTTGTATGTATCCTAGATTAGTACTAAAAAGTAATTCCACTTTTGTGGTAAGGTCTTGTTTTCTTGTTTTACATCCTGACTGCAGTTTCCTCTCTTTCCTTTCCTCCCAGTCTCTCCCCCACTTCCCCTCACCCCAAATTCCTCCTCCATTTCTATTCAGAAAGGGGCAGGCCTCCCATGGATAATAACACAGCATGGCATATCAAGTTGAGGTAGGACTAAGCACCTTGTTGGGCTCTTTTTGCTTTCATAAATAGTGTTTCGGTTATACATCAAGAGGTTCCTCACACCCACTTCTTTCTGCTTAAAATGATTAGGGACAGGGAAATGGTTCAGTGGGTAAAGTGCTTGCTGCACAACTGTGGACCGGAGTTCAGATCCCTAGATCCCCTGCCAAGTATAGCAGTCAGAGCCTGTAACCTGCAGACGAATTTCTAAATGGTCTTATTAAATGAAGCAAAAAACAAAAAACCACCAAGCCAAATATAGGGGTGAAAGCCTTAGGGAGATCAGGGAAAAAGGGAAAGCCACCAGCCAACCTTACCTCACCAACTCTGCAGCTTCCAGATGCCACCACTTCCTGACTACCCACTTCTATATGTCTTGCTGTTCTGCCATCTGATTTGCTCTCTGGCCACCTCCTTTACTTCCTTTTCCTACACAGCTCTGCCACTTTCTGTCTGTCTGTACAGACCTTCATATCTCCATGGTTAACTAGTGTTGGAATTAATGTGCCACCACGGTTTCCAGTATAGCCTTGAACACACAGAGATCCTGCCTAAGTGATAGGATTAAGGGCATGTGCTACCACTATCTGACTTCTTTGTTTGCTTATAATGGCTGCTCTTTTCCCTCTGATCTCCAGGCAAGCTTTATTTATTAAAGCACAGATAAAATATCACCACAGTAACCCCAGCATGGAGTAAGTAGAGATGAGGGTTGGAGATTTTCAGACTCAGGCTGGCTGGCCAGTCCAGCTGGCATGGCCAGCCCCATGTACAGTGGGAGACTATGTCACAAAAAATACAGTGGAGTGTGACAGGGAAGTTGACTTCTGGCCTATACATTTGCCCACATAAATAAATGTAGCTCCACATAGAGGTACTTACACATGTACTGCAACATACACACACACACATGTTAAATAAATATGTATTAGCAGCATGAGTAGCCATGTCTAGACCCATCGGTTCATTAGAATTTACAAATTAGGGCTATAATTAATTGTAAAGAAGTCAGTATGTAATCTATCTTCCCTGTTGCATGGATTAGAATTCATGATGACTTTCAACAGCAGCAGAGTCACGAATACACTCGTCTCACCCTGAGTTTGACTAGGGGAGTTCTGGAGGGTCTTTTGTCCTTTTGTGGAGAAGCTGATTCATCTAATATATACCAAGATCCTTAGATACAGAGAAGAGGGTTCCCCAGGTGCCCTACTGTAGTGGAAACCTGACCCCCAGCCCAGCCTTGGCTGTAGCCCAGGAGTGTCTACAGAATCCTCGAAGCTCCTCTACCAGGGTCTTTGTCTTTCCTAGCTTTATCCTTACTCCTACTGGATCCTGTAATTCTGGTTTTCATCTCTACAGGGCAGGCCACATCTTTGAGTAAGACTGAAGACTTGCTGGAGACAGTAAAAAAGCTGCAGAAAGGTCAGGTATCTTGTGTCTGAGTCTTGGATTTTGAGTCAGGCAAACAGGGTTAGAATCTAAAACCCTTAACTCATAACTCTGGAAAATCATCCTATTGCATGTATTTATTCTATTTGCTTTTATTCTTTGAGCCAAAAAACCAAAGTCCTACAGTTAAAAATTCAAAATCTTTAAGAGGATGGATCCTCCACTTACAGGGGCACATAGATACTCACTCTCTCTCTCTCTCTCTCTCTCTCTCTCTCTCTCTCACACACACACACACACACACACACACTCCATTCATCAGCCCATTCATCTTTTCATCCATCCATCCATTCATCCATCCATCATCCATCCATCCATCCATTCATCCATCCAACCACATACCTGTTTATTCATTTTCCTGACCCACAGACAAGCAACAGTATTTATTTATTTGTTAGTTCTGCAGCTTAAACCTATGACCACTGTACTAATGAGCTACTTCCCCATAGCAGCAGTTATTAAATGATCAAGTGTCTTCCAGAGTTTTCTTTTAAAATAAATAGCATCCATGGGTATATATTTCTTATCCTTTTTAAACCCACAAATGACAAAGGACAATACAGAGTATTTTGCACTTGGCATTTTTGTTGAGAAGAAACCTGGGAGCCAGCTTGCATTGAGTACCCATTTAAGGGCTGGAGCAAATACTGAGTTTGAAGTAAGACCTTTCTGCCCCACCAGCCCATTCTCTGCTTCAGCTGTTGTAGTCACTGATTTGCTTCAAACAAAAAGGAACCTTCCCTTTTCCATCTCCCTGTAGCTCACACAGCTCATTGCAGCTGCTGCCTGGACTAAACTTTGTATAGAAACTGCAGGACTAGAGATGTGTAGTGACCTACCCCTATCATCTCCATTGAAATAATGTTGCTGGGCCGCAGAGATTTTTGCCAGTTGCGATCAGCACCCTGGAGGACAGTTACTCTTCTAGAAGTGCCTAGAAAGGGAGTCTATCATCTTGAAAAGTCCATCACTAAGCTTATGAACCCCAGGCTGCTCTAGGGGCTCTCGATGAGACCCAGTAAAGCAGCTTTATATCCCAGTACCTGTGACTCATCTTTGATCTAGAGCAGAAGGAAGGCTTCTCCCTGTAGAGAGGTAAAATGGGCTGTGAGGTCAGAAGTGACTCTCTAAAAAGTCATTGAGAACTTGCAAGGTGCCACCTCTCACTGGAAAGCCCTGCTGCCTTCATGACAGCTAGAGACCAGGAAGGCAGGAATGGTAAGCAGCCTGTTCTGCCATGCCCCCAAAGATTGTGGGGCTCATGGGAGGGCTCCTCCACTGTGGTCCTGCAGATCCTCCCTTCCTGCTTTCTCTGCTCCTCCTGCTCGCATACCCATTCTCTGTGGCTTTGGACTCACTGGCACTGCAGGAGATTCATCCTTGTTCCCTCTGTCTGCAGTAGCTCCCACTCTCCACACCCCTCCCCACCGTGTATGGGGTCTGTTTCTCTCCCTTAATTTGGGGTCTTTCCATATCAAGAAGCACTAATACCCATCTGTTCTGTAACACCCCACCATGTGTCATCATGTAACTGGTAATGCCACCAGATAGAGTCATAGCCACCACCAACCCCACCCACCCACCCACCCAGAAGGCAAGCCCTGCAAGGACTTGTTACAGATTCCAACACAAAGCAGGTGTTCCAGAATAGCCTGTGGGTGGCTAACAGGAGAAACCCACCATCAGATAGTAGTCCTACTCTAGCTGCCTGGGACAGCCAAGCACTTGTCTTTTCTGGCTCAATCTGCCTTCTTTCTTCAGAGGGAAGCCTGGAACCCCAGATTGAGGACCTGATTCATCGAATTAATGAGCTGCAGCAAGGTAAATTTGGGAACCTAGACTGATATCAGCAGGAAGGAGCCTGGACTGTGAGTACCTCCCACGCAGGGCTGTCTGAAAAAGAATAAGCCATGTCACAAGCTGCAGAAAGGCAGCAGGGCTGCGCTCACACAGCCCCTTCTTCCTTTCCTTGGTCCAGTAAAGAAGAGATCCATTGAAGAGCTGGGAGAGGTTCAAGCTCTCCAGGAGGCCATGCATCGGGAGCTAGATTCCTGTGAGTGGGTCCCTTGAGCGCTGCTGGCACTTCCAAACATGGCTCGGGGCCTTCGCCCAGGCAGTGCCCTAGCCAAGGCTGTGCCCTTGCTTGCAGTCCCCTTCGCCCATACAATTCAGATTGCCCATTGTTTCATGTTATCTTCCAGTTCCCAGCTCAGCTAGCCCTAACACGACCATTTTTGGATGATTTCATCTAAAAGCGGATTCCTTCTCCACCTTGCTTCTCCCTCCCCCTGCTTCTGCTTAGTTTCTTTCTTCGGAGCCTCTGTTTCTACCTGACATGGCATTTCCTTCTTTAGTAGTTCACTCTTCTTTCTAGCACGAACTTGTACTTCCTTCGTCATAGTCACTCCCTTGACTCTGTTGGCACTTAAGAGAACGTGGATGTGGGGGAACGGGGGAAAGAATCAAGGGCGCCCTGTGGGAGGTGGTGATGGGTAGAAAGAAGATACCTCACTTCTCCCCCATCTTCTGTGGGATTTTTGCCTATTGGATGGAATTGCAGTGGGGATAAGGGATGCAGCCTCCAGAGGCTGAAAGTGTCACCATGTTTTACAGTGAATGAAGAGAAAGGACACCTAGAGGAGGTCCTGTGCAAAAAAAAAGGTATTTGCCATTCTTCTTTATTCTTCCCATTGCTTCACAAAGCCCACCCTCCTGAGCAGCCACAGGAGTCCCACTGAAAGCTGGGCCATGGGGCTTCTCTCAACTCTCTCCCCTGGCTACTCATGTGGAGGATGCACACAAGTCTTTTGAGTGCCCACCAGCATCCAAGGTCATGTGGGACCCCTGGACTCTGCCTAACCTTGTTCTGCCAAGGTCCTTCATCAGGATGTCTTGTCTGCTTTCTCCACAGAGGCTCTGATGCTTCTCCAGAAGCACTGCCAGGAGAGGGAAAGTGAGACTCAGTGGTAAGAGTTCTTCCCAGCTCTGCCCCAGCTTGAGGAGGAGGGACAAGAGCTAGTGTAATGAGTCCTGGATACACACTCCTTATTTCCCTTCTCTGAAACAGAGCACCAAGACAGGATAGTTCCCTGATCATTATGGGTGGTGGTAGAATAAATTCAATAGTTTGACCAACTGCACCCTCGTACAGTTTTCATGGGAAGGCACATTTGTAGGGGCAACAAGGTGGACAAGGCTGTGGTCCCCCGTAGGGATCCATAACAGTTCACCTGTAACAAAAGAATGAGAAGCATTCTTGGAGAGGGTGAGGGCTCAGGCAGAATCTGACTATGAATGATCCAGTCCCTACCCAGGAAGCATACAGTCCAGTTGTCAGGATTCAGACTGAGGAAGCTGGAGTTATTCCTAAACCTGGAGTCTGGTGGGCAGCTAAGCAGGGTGCGAGTGGAGCTTGCCGGAAGAAAAGGTGCTGAAGAGAGGAGGCTTTTACAGACCCCTGAAGGGGAGCACTGGCAGGACTCAAAGGCCTGAGCAGGAGGCACCCCAAACCTGACTGCCGAGTGGGTCCTGGCCCTACCTTTTCAAGGCTGGGTGTCTGTCCACAGGTTGAATGCTAAAGAGCTACTGGAGGATCTGACAAGTCAGCGCAAGGACCTCTGGGAGTTCCATGTAAGCGACAATGTCCCTTCCAACCTCCACTCCTCCTGCAGCTTTAGTGTGTCCGTGAGTGGTCTGGTCCCCAGCCCTGCTCAGGCCCAGTGCTCTGGGAGAGACCCTGACTCCTCTCTCCTGTCACCTTTGACCCCACAGCTGGCCGCTTTGCCCCATCCCTCACTTCCACACCTAGCATCCTTTGCTGGCTGTTGTCATGGCTTTTATGGGTTCTGTGTTTTCTCAAAGTGGCCCACGAGAACCTTGAGAAAAACCTTCATTCGGCCACAGTTAGGAGCATCAGGCGACATTCCAGGCAGGGAGAGGCAGCAGTATACCAAAAGACCCTTTCCACCTCAAGTTTCTTAGGGGCAGGGGGAATGCATAGCCAGACTCTAGCCAAGAAGGCAAAGCAGATAGATCCTGTAAGCCTGGGGCACCATCCGTGACCTGTTGGCATCTGACCACACATGTTGAGCACCTGAGTGCAGAAGATAAGTGTGCATTCTTGAGAAAGGCTGAACTTCAGGAACATTCAAAGAGAAGCAACTGGGGAGTGAGGATCTGAAGTGTTGTAAGAAATAGATTCTGAGAAATACGAGGGGACGTTGGTGTTGGTGTGAAGTGAGTCTATAGCCGCAGCAGAAACTGCAGAGTTAAAAAATGAGTGAGTGACCTACTGGAGGGAAGGACTTTGTCGAAAGTGCAAAGAGGGGTGGGCTGGAGGTGTAGTCAGGACAAGGGACTGAGAGACAGGCCTCCATTCTCACAGGTCCTGCAGCATCGACTGACCCAGGAGATCAGCGCGATGGAATGCAGCAAAGAGCAGCTGCTGATGGAGAGTGAGACTCTCGGGCAGTGATGGGTGGTGGGACCCAGTGCCTCAGAGAACCCAGCTTGATGTCCAGACACTGCCTGCAGGGACTTTGCTGCGTACCCGGCTGCAGGAAGTGGAGAGGCGGCTGCAGACAGCCAGGGAGGCCCAGAACACCCCTGAGAACTGTGGGTGAGAGAAGGTCATGCATGCCCCTCAACCTGGGACTCAGCTCTTCAGGCCTCTGTCTTGACTCCTCCTCCCTGATACCCTGGGCACTTGCTCGTTCTCTTGTGTCTGCTTTTCTCATAGGCTGAAGACAGAGCTGAATAAATGTGGGGGGCAGTCACAGAGCATCACAGAAACCCAGAACAACAGAGGAGAGGTAGGCACCCAGTGAACAGAAGCAGAGACTAAAGAGGAGTAAGTGGGGGCCCCCGGAGGTCCCCTGAGAAGGGGATTTAGAGAGGCCTAGGCAGCTCCAGTACCGGGACATGCTGAGGGAGCCACCAGGAGCTGGCAGGTGCAGACAAGAGGGTGTCTGAGTAAGAGTGTCTAGGATTCTGGGTGTCAGCAACCTGCTCCCACTGCCCTTAGGCTGGCGAAGAGGAGCAGCATCATTTGGAGCCATTGGGAGAGCTGCCAGCGACAAGGATGCCCCTGCTAGGCCACGAGGACCCACCAGTGCTCACATCCCTTTAAGGCCTACCAAAAAATAAAGATGATTCCTAGAGTCCACTGAGTCTGTGCATGTGAAAGTTGCTGGAAGGAAGAGGCCCCAGCCATGTGGTAGGCAGGTATCCAGGTCATCTCTGAGTGCAACATCAGCTGGATTTCACTCATCAGCCATAGGCATACAGCAAATACCCAATAAATGCTCCTGAGCAGTCCAGTGAATGAATGTCAGATAATGAGGGCTCACCCCTCCTCCCTGGGCACATCCAGGGGTACAGAAGTATCAACTCATCAACAGAGATCCAGTCCGGCACTCCTGTGGTCCAGAGAAGTCCCAGCTCCCCCACCCCCCAGATATTATTGTTTCCTGCCGGGTCCGTGACATCTCAGACCTGTCCCTCTCTCCCGTGGTACCGCTCACAGCTGGGTTCTTGTCCCAGAGAGGCCTTTCATTGCTGTCCAGACCTCCAGGCCAACATCCTGTCAGTGCAAGGCTTCATCTGGAGTGCCCACAGCCCTGGGTCTCCTGGGAGCTTTGGCAGTCACCACAGGGCTGTTAATATAGATTAGAACGGAGGTAGAAAGAAACCAACTGTGAAGACTAGGAAAGGATCCAGTGGAGGCTGGTCAGGGAGGTGCTTAGAGCATAGCCCCGGCAGGCAGCCACTGGGCAGGATGAGGCTGGGAGAGTGGGTCTCCTTAGAAGCGGGGCAGGGATATGGTAGTTACTTTTTGTTGCTGTGATAAAAGACCATGACTAAAGCAATTTACAGAAGAAACAGATGATTTGGCCTTACTACTCCAGAGGGCTAGAGTCCATAAGGCAGGGACAGAGTGGCAGCAGGTGGCTCGAGCTGGAAGATGAGAGATCACATTTCTACCCATATGCAGGAAGCAAAGAACAGAAGTGTGACCAGGATATGTGTGGGGCCCCAACTTGCTCAGGGTCAGAGAATCTGGGCTTGCTTTACCTGTTGCTGGAGTCCGAAGTCTCTGCTGCTATTGTCATCTTAGACCCATTCACAAAGGCCATTCCATCTTTATCATCCTCTGTTCTTTTACTGGGAGGTGTAGCAGCCATAAGGAGGAGGAGGAGGAGGAGGACTGCTATAATTATTCCAGCTATTTGCCTAGTGGAACGCTGATTCAGAGCTGCATAGAGTTAAGCTCTGAACCTCACATATTAAGAAGGGGGAACTGTAGAGGCCCAGCTTACTCAGGGTCAGAGAATCTGGGCTTGCTTTACCAGTAGGGCTGCATAAGGAGATGATTTGGCCATGGGCTTGTTTACCAGGTGTTTGGAAGGGTCTACACTTGGCTGTACAGTGTGCTTTGATCTTGCAAGGGGGAGGTCCTTTGCCTCTCCCCTTGGCATATTATAAAAAGCCCTTTTGAATAAATCTCTGGGTGACTGGGTGTTGACCCAGGCCCTCCTGAAGCTATCCTGTGTTTCTGTCTTTCTTCTCATCATCTAGGTCTGTCTTTCTATCTGCTATTTTCTTATCTCTCTTTCCTCCACTCAAGAACCCTTCAAAAGATGGGAGCTGGACTCCCACAGATATGCACTCTCAAAGCCAACCACCAGTGACATGCTTCCTCCAACAAAGCTGCAGTACCTAAAAGTCCCATAACCTTCCCAACCAGTGCCACTGACTAGAGCCCACGTATCCAAATACATGAGTCTATGGGGGTGGGGGCAGCATTCTCATCCAAGTCACCCTAGGGGATAATGTGCCTCTCTTCAGAGATTGGGCTGCATACAAGCTCTCTGGCTTTAAGCAAATCATTTCCCTCCACCTCAGTTTCCTCATCTGTAAAAGACAGCTATTGTGTGAAGGACCTAGACCACAGTTCTCAGCCTATGGGTCATGACCCCTTTGGGGGTCACAATTCAGATATCTGACATGTCAGATATTTACATTATGATTCACAACAGGAGCAAAATTACAGTTATAAAGTAGCAATGAAATAATTTTCTGGTTAGGGGTCACCACAGCATGAGGAGCTGTATTAAAGGGTCTCAGCATTAGGAAGATTGAGAACCACTGACCTACACTGATAACACATGGGAAGTGCTTATAACAGTTACCAGACTATTGCAAGGACAATGGAGGTGGTAGCCATCATTATTATGAAGACCTTTCATATCATTTAGCCTTTCTCTCCATCTTGTAAGTGAATGTAACCTCCATTTTGTTTTTCAACAAGGAAGCATAGCACCAGAGGCTAGGGAACTTTATAAAGACAGAAGTTGATTTTGGCTCATGGTCCTGGAGGCACAAGGCTGAGAAGCCATGCCTGGCGATAGCCTTCATGCTCGCTAAGTCCTGAGGTGACAGGACGTCAGATAACTGGAGACACAAGGCATACCTGTGTATCCCTTCTGTTTTTTTCCTGTTCTTTTAAAGCATGGGAGGTCCACCCTAGCAATCTTAGTGAGTCCTAGTTATTTTCCAAAAGCCCGGACTCTGAGCATCAGAGTCCCATCCAGTATCCATCCTCTCACCCCTTCATGATGGCAATTAAATCTCATAAAGCAGTTAAATGAAGCTTGTTTATCTGATGGTGTTGGGGATGGAACCTAGGCCCTTGAGTGGGCCAGGTAAGCATACTACTACCGAGCCATATCTCCAATCCTAAAAGGGATATATTTCAGCTCATAAAAACTTGGACTCTCAAATGGTAACGGGATTATTTAATTGTCCCAACTCAATTGAATTGTTGTTCAACCTGCTTTGACTACCCACAACATTCCCGGTACTTGGCTAGTTATTGAGAAAGTCATAGAAAATGTTGCTCTCGCAGGCTCTGCCATCACAGAGCTTAGAGCCTCGGCAGGAGGAGATGTGCTGAGTACCAGAAACAAGGGTGCCAGTGGGAAAGCACCTCATCAGCAACAGGGCACTTCCCTTGTGACTCAGTTCTGTGTGACCTTGCCGAGGAAACGAGGAAATGGTGAAAACAAAATCCTCTGCCAACCCAGGAGACTTCCACACAAAATGTAACCAAGAAGACAGTTTTCCCATTACATAGGCTTTAAGTCAGTGTAGGGCCACAGCCCAGGCAGTCTGCTAAAGAGATCACAAAGACAAAAACATGGTAACAGCTGCCCTTAGCATATTTGTGTTCATGGGTATATTCTACAAATCACTGATTTTTTTTTAAACTGGGCTGCAGGCAGAAGTCAACAGCAGCCTGATGAGAATAGAGATGCCCAAAATTGCCTTCAAAAGGCATGATTCTTTGGGATAGAATATCCCAGCTATGAGTGCATTTACTTAAAAAATTTCCAGTAGATGATGTGCACTTGGCCTTGCAGAGCACTTACCCAGAAATAATAAAGAGTATTGATTGAGGTCAAGCTCCAGGAAAAATGATATCTGGACTCCCTTGCATCAGCAGCACCTGGGAATTGGCTGGGGACTCAAGAAGCTGGCTCCTATCCCAGACCTACTGAGAGGAACACTCCAGGTGGACTCAGAGATCTGAGTTTCACAGGCCCACCGGGTGGCTCTACTGTCCACGTTTGGGAACCAAACTGTTCTAGAAAAGAGCTTCTGGTGTCTGCTTTTCATTTGTATTCTTGTGGTAGAGTTTTCAAAAGATGGCTCTTGGAGCCAGATGTTCCTGATCCAAGCCTGGCACCCTCTTATTATAAAGTGCAACTCAAGAGAGCAGGCATGGTGACACATGCATATAATGCCATCTTTTGGGAAGCTGAGGCAGGAGGATTGAAAGTCTGAGACCAAGCTGAATTATACATAGAAACAGATTTCCTGAGAAAGGAGCAACTGGTCATTTGTCAGATTAGATGTTTGGCCGTGGGCCAGAAAGAACTGTTCTAGAACACATTCTACCACCATCTGTCTGAAAAAACAAACAAACAAAAAGAAAGTGCAATCCAAGAAAAATGATTTACACCCATAATCTGTACCTCATCTGCAAATTGGAGACTAAAATAATAGCTTCAGTAGAGTTATGTAAAATGCCAATTTTCTTTTTCCTCTTTTAAAAAAAGTTTTATTTCATGAGCACTGTATATCACTTCCATTTGCCCTCCTCCCAAATTCCACCCGTCTCCCCTTCCAAATTCATGTTCTCTTTTTAGTTATTACTGTTACATGTGTATACATATGCCTCTGTGTCTATGTATGTGTATATGCAGACATGTATATTCAACCTACCGAGTCCATTCAGCATTGCTCATATGTCCAGGGCTGACTACTTGGGATTGGACATCTTATGTGGGAACCCATCCATAGAGAAAAGTAGTCATCCCTTTTTCTGAGCAGCCATTGACCACAGATAGCTCTTCATCTAGGGGTGGGGCCGTGTGGAATTTCCCCTGTGCACATTGGTATGTAACCTGGTGTTGTCTTTATGCAGGTATTGTTCATGCAACCATATGTGGGGGTTTTTGGATGCATTTTGATCACAGAGAATAGAGGACTGTGGAGTACCCAACCCCAACTGATTCATCTGCAATGCAAAGTCACCTCATAAGGGACTTTGGTGTGAATGACAGGCATTGTTAATATTCTGACCCACCCCTTGAAATCCCACTCTCTTGACACTACCCTGTGTCCTGACATAAAAGCCTCATTCCAAGGAAACACTCCTCCCCTTCCTCTCTCTCTTCCACTTTTCCTCCCACAAGTTGCATACCCTCTACCTCTCTCTCTTTCCCTTTCTCTTTCTCTTTCTTTTCTCTTCATCTTTCTATTATAATAAACTCTCCATGTGGATGCAGCATCTGGGTTGTGAGTTACTGGCCACTGCTGCCACTGCCGCCATGTCCAGCCCATGGCTGCATCTGTCCAGCATATTTCCTTGTACCCATGCCATACCCTTAGGGGTCCCCACACACACAATAATTCATATCATTGGTGCCCAACATTGCCAGTCAATCCCACTGCTTTCTCCTGCCTGTTGGTAGTCTGAGGAACTCTGGGATCCTGTACCATCCGCCATTTTTCAGGCTGGAGCACCACCAGGGACTCTACTGGATTGGTAAGATTTCTCCCTTCCCTTCTGGCCATTTTCCCACAAGTGAGGATTCATCT